GCATGCAAGACAGCTGAGCTGGGTGAAATGCAAAGCACATTTGTATTCATTATCGCTTGCCTGCAAAACAAATAATAGGCTGCGTGTGTGTCCGTGCACAGACACACAAGGCGAACACAACATGCTGAGTATTGAGATGGATGCAGTGGATATTACTAACATCATTGAGGCGCGCGCTCTCATTCCCTCATAGAAAAACACACAAACAGATGCATATACACACACACACACTGCTGAGTCAGCATAGTGTCAGTGAAGATAGATCACAGTGTCTTGCAGGTGTGACAGCGTTTTACAGGTGCAAGGTCACTCGTCTTTGTCAGAACACTAAGCATGCTGGGGTTGACCTTCGACTTCTAACTTCACTTCTGAGTGTGTGTGCATGATTATTTTTACCTTCAGTAAGCAGTTCCTGTGGCCGGGGACAGAGCCGTGAACATACAGCACATTATACTTGGTATTGACCCTCCATATCTGGGAGAGAGAGAGAGAGATTGAGTGGAGGCAGATGAGGGAATATTGAACTGAAATTGCAGTCAAGGACAAACGAGTTCAAAACTACATCTGTGCGCGTGTCCTTGTGAGTGTGAGTGTGTGTGTGTGTGTGTGTGTGTACCTTCAGTCCATAAGCTGTGACGCTAATGTTGCCCAACATGCCGGGCATCTTTTTTCCTTTGAAAACTTTGGCTGGATCCTAGACGCAGATGATGAACAACACAATCATGCTCACATCACTGGATTATGGGAAGCCAACTGTTCATGTCTGGCACGGAGGATAATCTTTGTGTGTGTGTGTGTCTCTTACCCCTCCAGGTCCAGAAGCTCCCGGTCTACGGTGAGTTTTGGTTTGGCCGTGGGTGGCTGGCTGACCTTTGAACCCCCATCGCTTCATTACGCCTTGAAAACCTTTACCAATGCTAAGCACACACACAGAAGGAAGTTAATGTTTGCACACTCATATTTTCATTTATGTTACCTCAGCACAATGATATAGAAAGAGGGCTTTGCACATTCTTGCAAAGTCAATAAGCGTAATAGGAAAGGAAGCCCAGAGGAGAGAAAGCTGGCAGAGCAGAACTTACGATTTGGCTGTGATGTCCACATAATGCCCCGGACGGAAATGTGCCGCATACAGAGGAGTGCCTGAACACATGGCAAACGAGATTACATTAATGTAAAACTTGCTCTGCCGGCTACAATAAGATATTAGAGTCCAGCGTGTGTTGTGATTGAGCTTTGCTTTAACTGTGAGATAACAGATGTGGGTATACCTGGCTTGAGGATGGCGTTGTCGGTGACTTTAAATGTGGAGACTTTCTGCTTTGGAGGCACTCCTGCATCCCTATACATCTCCATCTGCTGTTCAGACATCTGTCAGTCAGAGTGATGGAAAAGACAGACAAATATAACGATGAAAGGAGGGAAATTAAGTGCTAAAGGAAGCACTTGAGTGCGACTCAAAATTAAAAATTGACTGTGGGCCTGTTATGACTATATGGGAGCCAAACACACACACACACAGGCGTACGCACGCACACTTGGCAGCGAGAGTCTCTGACATTTGCTTTCACTCGGCTCACTCACATCTCAGCCCCTCCAGTCACTCTAAACTCTCTCTCTCCCCTTCTGTTGACTGAAAACCAGCCTGCCAGCTTCACTCTCCCGACAAACTCTGTCTTTGACTAGAGAGTAATGTGGCTGCGTGAGCTGGATTCAAACAACTTCACATTCGAGAGAGAGTGAAACCCCGACAGCAGCCCATCACGCATCTATCAGCACCCAATGAATAAATCCCACCTTGATTTATTCAGCCTTGTTCTTTTGTTTTTTATCTTAAAAAGATGGATGTAACATTTAAAGGACAAATCCCCTCTCATACATACTAACGGGTGATTTTCCTAAAAACAACTTCTTTAAATCTGTCTACCCTTTTTGAGGAGGTAGTATGGGTTCAGAGAAAGTTGAGGAGCCAATGTTGCTGTCCGTCACCTCAGTGTTACAGAGTTCTGAGATGCCGACTGAGGCAGTGATGGGACCTTAAGAGTTTATTATGAGCATCAAAGATCCAAATGTGTGTGTGTGTGTGCCTATCATTGTTTGTGGGACATAGCAGCAAGGACATGTATTGGATCCCATTTATTTAGACTCCTAAGATGAAATAACTGATGGTTAGTGGGTAAGTATAATTTCCTGACTATGGGGCTGTATTCATAAAAAGGTCTTAGAACTGGGAGGCCTGGTATGAGCTCAATGGCAGAGGGAAATTACAAAATTCAGTTATGTTTCCATAAGGCTGTCACACTGATTTGATTTTTTTGCGTGATTATGAAATGTCGCCAGAACTAAAATGACAAAAAATATGTAACTGGCTGCTCTGCTGTTATTAAATGCATTGTGACTGGCATTATAAGATATATGTTTGCCATATTTATGAGTAATGTAATTACTGTGTGTTTAAAAGTTAGTTTAAAATGTTGAGATTTTTATCAGATGGCCTATTCAATATTTATTTTTTTTTACATTTTCCATGACAGCTTTGCTGAAGCAAATAAACAGGCTTTGTTAAAATTAAAAAAAAAATCAATGAATTAAGTAATGTTGGCAATATCTCAAGGTATTGGAAGGAAAAAACAAATAAGCACAGAATAATTAAAAGACATTTCTGTGTCAGGACAGCTGCTCATTATAAATACTGCAGCCCAATTATGAAAAAACATTTTTTTTCATTGCAATATTTTTAAATAAATTTGTATCTCATTTCAAAACATTTTATTTTTGTTTAAAGAGAGACTACGCAACTTTTGGGAGGAGAAATAAAACATTCTTCCTTTTAAAAATGTAAAGATTAACTCAGCGAACTTTAGGTAAATGTAGCTGTGTAACAGTCAGTCCGCTGACTTTATGATAATAAAAACAATAACATTTGTAAAGCATTTTCAAGCATTAGCACAAAGTGCTTTCCAGATTAAAACATATACGGAACAAATCAATCAGAAACCCAGGAGTACCACTCATGAACATACAAAATTAAGATAAAAGCGCTAAAATATTAATATGAAAGCAAGAGTAAATTAATGATGCTACTGCAATAATAGTTTTCTATTTCAATTACCTCATATAACTCAAAGAGAAGATAGGTTTATTACTTATCAAAAAAACTTATGAAATACTTGCAAACCGGCTATAACCACTATTCGGTCTCTATTAACTCATGAGGAAAAAATTCCTGCTTTGTAGCTGCTCCTCCACTATGTCCACCAGCTACTTCCTAACTTTGTCTGTCTGGTGTTTGGTGCCGAGCAGTTGGTGTACAGTGGGATTTTAGAGCCTTTTCACTGAAAACAGCTGCCTTCTGCATCTGACGACGACGTTATAATGAAGGTAAATCGTAAATTTGCGGGATGGAGAGCTAAACAATGACCCTGAACTCGCTATAAAGCTCTGTAAAGCTGATTCGGGTGAAGCAGATTCAGATGGTAGTTCCCTGTAGGTTCAAAACTATGAGCAACCCCTTTCATTGTTTTCACATCATCATTTGACACATTATTATAAAAACCTCCATTATAGCAACTTTAAAGAAAACTGAGCCTGAAAAACTGAACTTAATGACAGCTACAAGAATGTGCTTATAACAGCACTTACCAGAGATCATAAAATGTCAACACATCCAATTTAACAGCTAAGATAAAAACCTTTGTCACACAGTTTTTATATCAACAGATATTTCTTACATAGAATGGCGATGCGTTTTTTCCTCCCACCAAGAGGGCGGCAGTGCGTCCATTATATTCTTCTTTGGGCAGGTATTTTAATACATGACAGTCCTCCACCTACAGAAACAAAATAAAGGACGGATGAACAATAAGTCATAGTCTGATTGTGGTTTTCACTGCGCCACCCGTTTCCTCCTAAACTACAACATAAACAAACATGCAATAATCACTTTTTTGATAACCTCACAGCATTTGGTAATACTCAATACATTGCAAATAAATCAGGAGAGAAGAGGAAAATATACCGCATAAAAGTTAAACTGTAACAATCAAATCTGTAGTGTATTAATATACTGCATTAACAGAAAGTAACTTTTCATCCTGTATTTGCTGAAAATAAAATGAAAGACTAAATGTGACTAAAGTGAATCAGCAGACGGAGATACAAGCTTCTGTATGGCCCTAAATCTCATATTAATTGTCCGACTGCTAACGTTGACATTTTATTGACACTGAAATTAGAGATTGTTATGCAGTAAAGAGTAGAGTGAAAAAACACGGCCACGGTTTGCTTTCAATTTTCTTCACCGACACACTCGCCGATGAGATTAAAACGTGATGTGAATAACATCAAATACCTCCTGCTTATACCTTGCTGTAAGGGAGGAGTAGCTTTCTGAGGAACACTGAGGCATTTTGAATGCATGATCAAAGCCTGCAGGTGTTTAATATTTACTATTCTGTCCCCACACTCCACAGAACAATCCAATTTATCAGACTTCTTTTCTGACCTGCTGGTCATGCCATTATGGATGGTGATCATAAACACACATTAGCATTCCTGAAGAATGCCTGTGGCTGTTTTTAACACAGCTAAGGCAGAACAGAAAACAGGTGTGTGTGTGTGTGTTCGTGTATGGTACCTGTAACATGGTGACGACATGCCTTTCTCCTGTTTTCGTCCAGATAGGAGCCATCCCCAACTTCACTGCCACTAACCCAACTCTTCGACTGCCTGGGCAGAGGATCAGATGTAAAGATGGTTAAAGTCGAGACAACAGAGATGAGACTCATGGATGTAAACAACTGTCACAAATCATGACACCCACCCTCTGTCCACTCATGTCGCTGCCAGGGCTCATCTTTGAGCGGGTTGAGCTTTTCAGCTGTTTGTGTTCTGTATTCCTCTGCCATGCTCTTCCTCATGTACTCCTGGTTATCCTCTGTGAGGTGTTCCTCAAACCATGTTGTGGTCTTTACTGTCCTAATACAACCCATCAAATGGGCAGGACTGCAAGTAAAGAGATAAGTGCAGTTATTTACGAGGAGGATTATCACTTATGTCCAGATTTAGACTGAAAATGGCCAGACAAATACATATAACTGTGTCCAATCAATACAAGAGTGACACGTGGTACAGTATACACATACTGCAGCAGACTACTTTGCTTTTAATATTTTAATCAGTAAAATGTCTGAAAATAGTTAGATTAACCAAACACAATTTCCTACCATTTTAAACAGCTTTTTAAAAGTGCCAAATTTAATTTATTCAGTGATACTAAACAGATATGCAACAAATGTTAACATTTTCAAAAACTGACATGGCACTTTCTCCTATTTATTTTATTTTGATAAATGAATTACATTATCATCAACATTGTTACTGCTTAATTTCACCAGGATCACCATTCCTGTGCTAATTTATGTATTCACTGTAATAACCTACACTGAAGTGTGCTTTGCTGCTTCTGATCTCATGCTACTCTGTCCTTTTATCCTTTTAGATGGCTAAAAGTTGAACACGGGTCACTGATTCTCAATCTGTCGCTGCAGAGACTGCAGTGTCCTTACTGATGAGTAACAAGCAGGAACACACATCCACACGGACAGTTTCAGCATTTAAGTGTATAAATGTCATTGCTTAACGACAGATTTAAAAAAAAATAAAAAAAAATAGTGGCACTGGACTAAATGAACCTTAGTGGCAAAGCCTGCCCACGTCTGCTTTCAGATGGTTAGAAACACATTACTCATTTGTTCATCAGTGTTGTCCTCAGTAACAGGCTCTAAGTAAGTCTTCAACATGTTGTGTAGAAAAATGAAAAAGTTTCCATACAGTGAAAACACTGTTGCACAATATTACAATCCACAAACATAGAGAAATCATCAAAATGATTTGCAGTTAAACGGTGAAACACGTTGGATATTAACTCGCTTTGTCACTATGAAGCAGACGCGTTCAGCTAGCTCCACCGTTACTTTTCAATGGGAAAGTGCTGCTAACATCGGCTAACTTATTGTCAAATAACAGGCTCTGCTGAGAGAAACAGCAAGGACAATAATGAATCAATGCACACACTCCAACCACATCTATTCCCTTCGGTTCAGCTAAGCTGCATTTTAAGTCAACTTCAGTTACATTAGAACGACTAGCTCGTTAGCATTAGCCACCTTTCAGCTGCTGCTCGGAGAGAAAACAGAGTTGTTCCTCTCCGGAGGACAAACCGACAGCTCCACGCCGCCATTGCGCTCTTCAGTGCAAACACTTGGACTGAAGTATAAAGAGACAGACAAACTAGAAGGACATGGGAGTCTCACGAGAAATGGACAACCATGCCTTCGTTGCTCTAAATGTCACCCTGGCTACTTCCGGTACGTGACCAAAACAGTTCCCCCACGCAGCGCGGAGGCTTGTGCCAAAGGTTCCGCGCACCCACCGTTATATTTTTTTTTAGCAAACGTGTTAACTTGCTAACTTATTAAATCTAATTAACGGTATTATGCTTACACGGTTGATAAAACGTTGTTGACGGCTTGACTTATAACTAAACGATGCTAAAAGGGGATTTTAAAAGTTAATTCGTGACCTTGGAAACTGACAGTCTTCATCAAGATGCGTTTGCCCGGTTGTCATGGAAATGTTGATGTTTCAGTTATCAATGAAGGACAACACGATAAATGCATTTTAATCTCACAATCATCAAGTAAAACAAATCCTTTTGATTTCTCAATTGATTGATGTCTCCTAAATAACAATATACTGTGTAACATATGAAACCTTTTTTCTAATTTTATCATGTTTATTATTGCCTCATTGTGTCATTTAATTCAATGAAACATTTATAGCTGAACAGAATTGAATAGAAGGTAGCCTACAGTATGATATTTCCTCATTTTAAGTGTTTTCTCCCTGCCTTTTTTCACAACCAGTCCTCTCAGTCTCTCTCAGTGAAACTCTACTGATGTGGGTGGTCTCAGAAAGAGATATCTGGAAGCTCATGTGTTGAATACTGATCTGAGCGTCAGAGACTGAGGCACTATGGAGTTTACTCTCAGGACAGCCCAACTTTGGTTCGCCCTAATTAACTGTATGGAGATTAGTGAAATCATTTATTCTTGCATTTTAATGTCTGTCTGGGAAATGTAGAAAGAGTGAAAGAGAGATGTAGTTGGAGAAGGTGTCTATGAGCCGACAGCATCATTTGTATGTGTTAAGGAAGTGTGTGTGGCAGTTTAAAGTATTGTGGAGTGCTGCTTCATTCAACAACAAGGCAGAGCTGTCCATGAGAGAGACAGAGAGAGAGAGATGTGTGATATCTAACCTGCATATACAAATGGTCTGCATATTCAGTGGCAAACCGGGAGACAGAAGCTCACGAGGCAGAGAGAAAAATAAATCAACTAACAGGCTGCCACCTGCTCTGCCTTTGTTATTCTCTAGATTATACCTCCCCACTGGATGCCTCAACACACACACACAAAGTTGTTTTCTTATTGCATAGGGAATTCAATTGTTCTACGCTAATTCCTCTGAGACTTAACCTTACATTGGCCATAATCAGTATGTCTAACCCTAATTATAACCCTAACATCCATGATGACCAGCTTTTGGTCCCCCTTTTATGACTGTATGAATACAAATAATGTCCCCACAACATGATTAACCCAAGAACATAAACATCAGATCACACCAAAATGAGAAAACCAAAGTGTCTTTATTATAATCAACATGCAGAATACAGAAAAAAACAGTTTTCAGCTCACAGATGAGTGTCTACCACACACGCTTTGCTATCCTCCCAAAACTCTTTACAATGTAAGAAGGTTATTAAGAAATTATTACAATTATTCTGTGGTTCATTTCCATTTAGCAAAATCTCCAACAAAAATCTGTAGAAAAGAACCCCAACCACCCAAGACAACCCTGAATGTCACTCAAATGACAGAGATACTTTATTTCATAACTAGCAAGCAGGCTACTGGAGATTGGATATTAGCAGGAGCTGAATTATGCATGCATTTATGCAGTACACTAACAGGGACTACCATTCCTATAAATAACATTTGCAATGCTAATTCTAAGCATTTTCGACTATACAATCACATATTTTTTTCTACCCACAGATCTTTTGGCCTATATACTTGCTAGTTATCTAAATAAGGTAGGAGTGTCATTCTTTGGGTGGTCTATGGTCTGAGTCTGCATGCTGGTTCAGAAGACTGCTCTTATTTCTATAAACATCTTTCAGATATACAGTAGATAGTAATAATTTCCCAGGTGATGCCACTGTGGCCAAACATGCAATAGTCATCAATGGAGTAGTTCAAATTGTTTCACCAGAACGAGCTAATTCTCTGAGCTAGACTACCGTATGTAGTATGTAGTACCCTAATGTGTACATGTTTGTTTGTTTGTGTGTGTGCTTGTGCTTTTGCATGTGTATATGTATTATACAGTACATAAAGTATATATATATGATATATATATGCGTGTGTGTATTTGAGTGTATGTTTGCATGTATTCCATTGTCAGGGGCTGAAGGTCCTTGTGGACTCGTAGTCCGACATACACTTGGGTTTGATGCCTTTAGCGTTGTAATAATCCACCACCTGGTTAGGGACTTCTGCCAAAACACTCTTAGCCAGTGCGGCTGGGGAGGCCTGAAAACAAAGAGACAGTCAGAGAGAGAAGAGGAGGAAGAGAGGGGTCACAAATGCATACACATCACCAGCCATGTGCGATTCTAGGATGCTGGAGTTTACTTTTTGGCCTGATGCTGTCAAAGGTCTAGACCAGTGAGACTGATGTGAACTGACAAGCTCATTTGACAACCTCACAACATCCCTGCTTTCACCTTTTGTCCTCTAGTCCCATAGCTTGGTTTCTATATATGTGCTCAAGGAGAAAAACACAGCAGAGCTCTTCATTTCTTAAAAAAAGTAATACATGAAAGAAGACTCTCTCTTTATACTTTACAAAAGTAGATGATCATGTACATTAACTCTTAGTACAGTTTATGCTGTGTAAGTTAATTATGCAAAGTAGTCCAGTTGTATTTGCTGTATATTGGAGTATATTATTTGAAAAACTTTGGTGTATTAACAAAGGTTTGTGATAACTTAAGGTGGTTGATTTATGTTGGAAACCTCTATACTTACAAAGAAACAATATTTTAACACTTTTCTTGACACAGGATTTTTTTTCAGGCTATTGTAGCCCATTCCAGCCTTGTGGTTTATTCAGTTCAAGTTAAAGATCTGTCATAAGTATGTCAGCCGAGTGATGATTATTATTTATTGTATCTTGATCTATTATGTCCTGATCTATTAAGCTTAGATGGGTTTGGGGGTTTTAGAGTGGTTTGGTAGAAGGTTGTAGAACACTGGGATAGTTATTTTTGTAATTCTCCTGCTTGCTTTTTTGTGATACATAATAAAAAACTAAAGTTAAATGTTTTATTCCCTCAAAGGACTTAAGGTGTGGCGATGAATGTAATGAATAAATGGTAGAATGTTCTCTTAAATGTAAAAGAGAGAAAACATTCCTACACACACACACACACACACGTACAGGCCAGCCACTTGTCGGCATGCACACACATTCTCCCACACCGCACACACTTCCGAATCCTCAAAGTCAGAGAGTCTGTCGTACTCCGTCTCACATAATTCCCCGAGACAATGCATCATCAAAGTGCACCCACCCCAACCCCCCCTCTCCTCTCATTTCCACCCTCCCTCCTGCTCTTCTCCTCGGCTCCTATCTACCTGTTATTCAGCCTGTCACACAGCAGCTCCGTCCTGCTAATCCCTTCTGAAAAGAAACGACAGAGCAGAAAATCACCTCTCCACCTCTGTCACACACTCCCTCGCTCCCTTTTGTCTTTAGCTCCGGTCTCCTGTTGACCCCCCTCCAACAGCACCACCACCATCACCACCACGGGCGATGTCTCTCTCCCTCCGACTTCCTCTTCTGTTTCCCCCAGATTTATTCTTCACCTCTCCTCTCTACTTTTGGATAAACTATATGTTTCAGCTCCTTCCTACATTCTCCCCCATCTCCTTCTGTTTAGCTGGGATGTAATTGGTTGATTTCTCAACCTGTCACAGACCAAACACACCATATCAGACCCAGCCAAACAGATCCTGTCAAAGCCAGGAAAAATTAATGCCACCAGAGAGAGAGAGAGACGCACACAAACACACAGTGAGCAGATAGCTGATGTGTTTTGACGAGCACACCAAGCATATTACGCCCACACGTTCACACTTGTTGCCCCCTGAATACAGCACAGACAGAGCTACTGTAGAAGTAACCCCAAGTGGATACTTTTTTAGTATCTAAGATATAACTACGAAGCACTGAGCGCTGAAAAATGTTTCTGTCAACGTTTTAAAATTGGAATTAAATGTTTGGTTTGATTCTCAGTGTTGTTCACTTTAATCACACATTTCCACACAATTCCTTCTAAATCAGGGCTCAGCAATTAAGTTCAACCATGGGCTTCTTTTACAGCACTGTTCACTGGGGAGACATTCTGCATGGTGGACAGATACAGTATGTTTTCAATATGTTTCTTTTACAGCCATTCATCTAAGATTAAAATTGATGTATTGGTTTGTTTTAGTATTGTATCCAATGACTGTAACAGCAGCTTATGGTGTGAAATGACTCATTTATGAAATATTTATGTTCTGTGCTGCAGTACCGACTACAGTTGGCTGCTTGATTTATAGCTGAATAAAATGGCTATTGTTGTTGCCTTAAATACATTTTCAAGTGGTCATCACAAGTGCTAAAACTTTGTGTAAAAAGCATAGTGTAGCAAACTAACTCAATAACATAGCAAGTTCTACCAAAAGTTTCCCCCCATAAGCTACTGGTCATACCAGACTTCATTCCAGCAGCACACACTGTTCAAATAGCCTGGTGCTGAACGAGGCACAGTAGCTGCGGTTTGTATGTGGGGACATTGGTTATTATTAGAGGTCATGACACCATACTTATTGGGATTTGAATGAGCCTTGTGTTTACATTGTTATCTACAGTAAATTTGTGCAAATCCATGTAAAGGTCATGGGGCTAAATATTTTTGCTAGGGAGCCAGATTTGACCCCCAGGCTACTATTAGCCTGCCACTGCTCTATGTAATAATTTTGCTGGTTTAGACAAAGAAAAGAAAATGAGGTTTGGAAGTGAAAATAGCATTGATTTATATCAGTACAGAACTACTACACTCACTTTGTTTTAAGCTTGTGGCCCCGGTGTGAAATTTCTTAACGTTCTTATGACTAGAGACTCTTTTATGACCATTTTTTTCCCCCTTTAATGATGTTACTCAACTTGAGAAAGCTTTAAAGTTTTAAAGTACAGTTTGGAATCCACTATACTTACACTGGCTGTGAAGAAGAAGCAACACAAGCTACAGCAATAGCTGATAAACTGGATCTAGCACCAAAATCTGCTCTGCTGCATTCTTATATAGTGGTGTATATGTCTTCATATTGCCTGACTTCGCTGGAGAATTAGTCACATTTTCTGCATATAATGCATTTATAAAAGCTCTATGGTCTTTTCAGAATTTTAAGAACGTCTATCCCTGTCCCTTTACCCCTCCTCCCAACTGCCACCCACATGTTTGAAGTCCTTGAAGGGGACGAATTGGACAATGTCGCGGAGGACAGGCTCGCCCTTCGGTGAACGCAGGATACCGTCGTCTCCATCTAGTATCTGCATGTCGGTGAAGTCTGCGTTGCCCACGCCGACGATGATGACGGACATGGGCAGGTGGGAGGCGTGCACGATGGCCTCCCGTGTGTCCGCCATGTCGGTGATGACGCCGTCTGTCAGGATCAGCAGGATGAAGTATTCCTGGTGGGACAGGGAAAGATTTGTGGGTGGAATGGAAGAGGATGTGGGGGAGGGAGAAATAGATGTTGGATAAATTTATGTTTTAAAAGTGGCTGCTTGTCAGAGGCTAATTTGAATAAAACTCATTCTAATCCGCCGGAGAGTCAGAGAGATGCGGGAGGCATTAAGGCAGAGAGAAATTTGGGCTCTAAAATTTATGACTGGAATTAAATTAATATCAATCACTTCTCCCCCTCTTTTCAATTCATCTCTTTTTGCTCTTCTTTGTTCCATCTTGTACCTCCTCCGATGTCTCACTTTCTATCGTTTCATTGCTATTTGTCTTCCCCTTGACTCCCTGTGTGCCAGTGCAAACACCAATAGTCACAACAACAGGAAAGAAATAGTCCTTTTTTCTCATTCTCTCTCTCACCATGGCCTCTTTGGTGTGCATCTCCTCAGAGGCAGACGAGGCCACTTTCTGGATGATTGGGGCAATGTTGGTGGGCCCATATAGCTGGATCTTGGGGAGGCAATTCTGGTAGGCTTCCACCACGCCTTGGATCCCTGCAACACACACACACACACACACACACACACACAAATCTGTCTATATATTGCACTCCATAGAAAGGTAAGGTCCCTCTCCTTCCGATGAAACTTTTATGGAAAATATTTTTACAAAGGCAAGAGACAAATCATTCATTTTTGGTCCCATTTGAACACAGGCTTCATAACTTCAGTAGCTCTGGATAGCTTGTGAAGAAGTCAGTGTGTAATCTTTCTAATTATGTATTTTCACAGTCTTACACTGTAACTGTGACTTTCTAGACTTGCAAAATTATCTTTTAATTTGACAAGCATCATATATTCATGACAGAATTCAAACGGATTCAAAAATTCTTTGTCTTTTGCCGTTGACTAGCGTCCAAATTTTTTCCGAAATAAGGTCCCATGGTGGTCCACCAGAAGAAGAGGAACAATGCCTCTCTATTGACTTCGCCGACTCTTCGAGTTCTCGTACTTGCAAAAGTATCTGCTAAAATAAATCAGACTCTGTGCATGTGATTGCACTCCAAGGTGACTGGGCATTTTTCATTCCCATATAGTCCACAACTGCTGACACACACGCACACACCTTCACAGCAAGAAGGCAGCTATGTGGGGAGAAGAGCACAGAAGCCCATTTCACACATACAGATTAGTGTTGTTTTTCTCCGAATCGAAGAGCCTGAAATACTTCCTGCAGCATAGCGACAAACCTCCCAGCTGCATGCGTGTCTGTGTGTATCTAAGTGCGTGTCCATGCCTGTGTGTGTAATAGGAGGAAACAGGGGGTGGGGACAGATACAGAGGGAGAAATATGGGACTGACAGCGAGGGAGAGATGAGAAGCGTGCAGCAGTGATACAGGAGGACTGTTTTGGTCCTGTGATGTATAAATGTGAAAGTTTCTGTGAGTCAAGAAGTCAAGTGTGTTTGTTTGATAGCTTACCAGCACATTCAGGATTGTCCTCATCAAAGTTCACAGCGAAATCGTGTGAAACCTACATGCGGGACGGAGAACACAAAGCCTTTTACCGCCACGTTAAAACGAAACACTCAGCACAACACGTTCAGTCCAATTTACGGGTTGACAGATGCATTCTCTTTTCATGTTGATCAAAAGCAAGCTGTGCTCCCACTGCTACTGCAAACACACGTACACACATCCCGAGTATCCTACCTTGAAGTCAGGTGGTATGAGTGCTCCAAAACCAAAGGCAGGGAACATTTTATCACTGGAGAAAGACAAATTTATTGAAAAAGATGGAGAAAGGTTTTAGCAGGAAGGACAAATATAATGTAACTTTTTACATGACAAACACTCTTATGAAAGGATTTGGTCCTTGGTGTATGCGTGAGAGTGTTTATTTGTGTGTGTGTGTGTGTGTGTGTGTGTGTGTACGTGCGTGCATGTGTGTGTGTATGTGTGTGTGTGTTTGTGTGTGCCATCATTAGCCAAATGATGATTGATGGAGTGGGTTCTACCTGTCATAGTCTTGGCAGATCTCCCCTACAGCCACCAGCGCTTTGAGGTACTCATTGGGCTGGTAGGGGTGGATGTAATGGAGGGAGCAGCTGTTTCTGGGATCCCCATTGGACGCTGTAAAGTCTATTGCCACCTGGGACAGTAACACACACACACACAAACACACACATACATTCACACAGCATGAGTGGGCATGACATGCTGCTTTGAATATTGAGGAGATTATATGTGACAAAACTCACTGTGAACTGAATTTGGCAGCCTCCCATGATGTAATCCAGGAAGGAATACATTTTGATGATCTGTCAGGGCAAATGTTGAAATTTAAGATTGGTTATGATAAGAGCTGAATGAGGTGAATGTGGCTGTGGTCTATGCAGTGGTGACGCCAGACATAATGCAAACTTAACCAATAACAATTAAACCAAAATTCAAACAAACATGAGCATCTGCTGCTTAACTTAACTTAACTTTCATTTCATTGTAAATTTAATACCTGTGGTTTTGTACTGTTGGTTGTTTTCTGACATTCATTCATCAATTAAAACGACTAATCAACAGAATTACATAATAAAGGTACCCTGTGGAGGGTTTTTTTTCACCACTAGTGGTGCTATGGTGCAAATTATTTTACAAAAAAAAGAAATTCTTGCCACTGGTTTCATTCCATTAATGAACAGTTAGTGGCACTAATGCACCAAGAAGTGTAGACATGTGCCAATAAAAACAGAGAAGAAGAAGAAGAGTACAGCAAGCAAATGTGGATGTAAAAAATTTAAATTTTAATGCATTCATCATTTGTTAGACCTCAAGGAAACACACAATATGTTTTGGTGAGAAACACATAACCTTTGTTTGCTTATGAGAACACTCCTCAGAGCAACTTTAATCAATAATGAAAGCAATCATTATTTGCAGCCCTGCTCGACCTGTGAGAATCAAACAGCGAGGGATTTCAAGTAAGTACAAGGATAATTTGTTACCTCACCTTACAGTGGTTAAGAATGACAACGCCAGAATTTCTGTAATTCTTCTTCTTCATTTGGTATTTAGGGTTGATGCACTCCCATTGAATCTAGGCAACACACAGTACAGAAAGAGAGGGTTATTACACACACATCACATGCAGGTTCACAATATTGAAAAACAGAACAACAACAAATGAATTTAGATGGATAATATTTTCCTTATGTGGCGAAAACACAGAGAACTTTAGAAACCTGACCAGCAATGAGCACTTCACAAAATGTCATGACAAACATGACATTTTGTCTTGGAAATGTTTGTATGTATTGTATAGCTTCTTGTTGACAGCTGTCCATAATTTTGATTATAACAATCATGTGTGTTAACAGGTGCATGTGTGTGGAGATCTTTCCGGCAATAATCCCATTGCAACTTTTGGCATGCACACAATTTAATCTTTCTACTCATATAACCTTTTTTTTTGGTGATATTTAAGATAAATCTGACATATTTTTGATTGAGTTTTAATGACACACTTCAGTTCAGTTGTAATCATTCCCTGAGCAGGTTGGATAACCAGCTTATTGCTAAGTGTGTTAAACATTTTGTGTAACCATTATTAAACCGTTGTCCATCTAAATATATTTGTGGAGAGTCAGTGTGCAGTCGTTACTCTTTTCATCCATTTGTGTGTGTTTGTGCTTACCTGTTTGCCCTCCTGCTCTGCTCTCACCTCCTTATAGGTGGTCTGGAACTCCCCAATAAAGTCATGCTTTCCATTGGAGTCCCAATCCCAAACTGTGCACTGGAACAGACACAAAGAGACACACATACACAAGCACACACATTCCCTCAGTCAGAGCGCAGCTGCAACACTGTCACCTAAACGCACTGACACACTCATGGCAGGGAAATGCCATGCTGAATGATTGATAAGGCAGTGTTAGTGGGGGGGCAATGGAGCGGTGAAATATTAATCTGAAGATGCTGAGAGGGACGTGGCTTAAGAGACAGCTTTATGTGTGTGTGGGCGTGTGTGTATGTGTGTGTTTAGGCGTAATAGTTTGTTTCTCTCAAAGGAGCTACTAGACAAGAAAAATGGCCTCAATCGCCAGTGAAAAGCGCAGGTCAGAGGGGGCCAAGGCTTAGCGCATCATAACAAAACAATCCCATCAATTCAAAAGGTGACAAAAGCCAACAATATCTGTCTTGCAGAGTTTGTACAATCAATAATTTTCAGTGAAGATGGTCAATAGAGACACACGTTAACACGCACATGCACTGAATAATTGATACCTTTCACAAAGGTTTAATGGTTGTGAATGAGTAATTTTGCTCTTGAGCTTTGCGACCTTCTTGTCTAAGGTCACCCTAACAACTAGCGACCAATCCAACAACGCTTGATTAAAAACAACGACCAGCAGTAATCCCCTTATTTCCTGGCTCCCACTTAAGCTGCCAAGTACCTGCACCTGAAGTCTTTTTTTGTCTCTGCGTGTGTGTGTGTGTGTCTGATCATTTGTGGATCGTTTGCGTGTCCGTGTTTTTGACAGTAATTATTGCATGTGATGGACCGAGCGCTCCCTTTTGCAGCCTTGCTTCCACTTCAAGTTGCTGAGAGCTGTGCAAGAGAGTAATGAAAAAATGAAGAACCTCCGTTCTATTCACTGAATACTAACTTTTGGACGGAGACAGAGACGGAGGGACGGAATGAAAAGTAGAGAAGTGGAGAACAGGTAAGGAGAAATACAAAGGGAGAGACAGACAGACTCTGCAGAGAAGGGTTATGCATTTATGCATTGGTCAGTTAAGAGCCAGGTGAAAAGGAAGCACTGGTCTGAATAGAAATCTCTACCCTGCCATTTCTCACTATAGCTCTGATGCTTCAAACAGGTAGCCCTGGAAACTATAGCCGATGGCGTGTGCGTGTGTGTATGTGTATGTGTATGTGCATGTGTGTGTGAGTGTGCGAGCCCTTTCTCCTGCTGTCAGGAGCCATGCAGAGTTAAGACGCCTTTGAATACTTAATGAACAAGCTCATGTTTATTCATGGGAAGGAATAACTGTTTGGAGCTGATGTGCGGCCACCACTTTTGCACAAATGCACACACGCAGATCTATTCTGGCAAGTAAAGGTGAGAGTTTAGGGGCGACCACTGAGCTCTTTCACACCCCGTCCGGCTCTTGAAATAACACAGTAACACCAGGGAAAGCGGCACATGACCTGAACTCGACTCATGGAGAAGAAAATGGAGGGAGATGATTGAGGCAGCTGTATGACTATGGCTGATTCAGTAATATACTTGTGGGTATGCGGTACGCTTGTGTTTTACAAATCTCATCATTTTTATGCTGCACAAAAAAAAGCCTTACAAAGAAACACCTGCAGGCCTTCAGGTGCTGTTTGGCCTCTCCCTCTAAAGATACACTGTGTCTCTCTGGGGGAACTTAAATAACAAAGGGAACTGTGGCCAAGGTTTTTCCATGCTTAGACTGTTGCAGACTAAGTCAACTGTTAAATAAAATGATCTTCTCATTATTATGACTTGCAAAAAATAAGTTACAGTTGCAGACTCACCTTTAGCTCCCTGTCATGGTCACCACTACAGAGTGTGTTCAAAGAAACTTTGAAGGATTTCCAAACTGGGCTCAGGTTGTTCATAATCGTCTACCAGTGCACAAAGGATCACAGTTTCCGTTAGTCACAGGTCTGAAGTGGTAAATAACACCTCTATGTGTGTGCATGTTTGTGTGTACGTGTAATTACCTCAGTTCTGTGCACAAGCGACTCAGTCCCGTCATCATTTATTCTAAAAATCTCCAGGAAAGGGTCTGACTTGCTGAAGAAATCCTTCAGAGGGAAAACACACATGTAAGGCATTGCCTCAGAACTGCCTTTGATCACCATAAATCATTCATGTACTAACAGAACCATTATTTCACCCCATTTTCTCCCTTTCTTCCACCCATCTCTTTCCTGTCCTCTCCAATTTACCCGCCCCTCCCGCTTTCTCATCCATCTTTCCCCTAAGGCACAACTTGTTTGGATTAGTCATCCATGGCTGTGCGCTCGCGTGTGTGTGTGGAGGCTGAAAATTAATATAGTTATCTGTGTGTGGTGTCGGCTGGGTGAGATAGGAGGGGGTTACTGGGGAGAGGGGAGGTGCCCACCTATCTCAGAGGGCCTCCTCTAATGCCAGATTGTACTTCTGTGTATTGTGTGTGAGTTGCTCTAGTCCCACAGCCCTCCGCCCACATACTTCTTTACACACACACTCCTGAAAGCGCACACACTCAAACTTATATCTCTGAATATGAACTCCTTTAATATCTAATGGAAAACCACACATTGTCAGTGATTTTGAAAGCGTGCACACAGTCATACAAACCTTGTCGTCTAGCTTACGAGCGCTGAAGGAGAGTTCAACGTAATCGTCATTACCAGACAACTCCTCTGCTGTCACCTTTGGGGCGGGGGGTGGGGGTATAGCGAAGAAGATGGTGAGAGGAGAAGGAGGAGGAGGAGGAGGAGGGTGAGACCGACAGAGAGGTAGAAGAAGGAGGTGAGAGAAAATGAGATGGAAATGAGGAACAGAACAGATTGAACAGGTAACATCATCAAATTAATTATCTTCAGAGTGTCTGAGTGCAAGAGGTGCGTGTGTGATATGTGCTTCTGTGTGTGTGTGTGTGTGTGTAAGTGCGGTGGGCTGAAACAGTGTCATACCGTTATGGACGACTTTCCAGTAGTGTTTCCCTGTTTGAGTAGAGCTTTGATCAGTTTTCTCTGTGAGACGATCTGAAACAAACAGAAACACAAAATCAGCTCACATATTCCAGTGTTTGCCTCACAGGGACAGCTTGCCTGTTAGTGTCACCCTAGTGTCACGAATGTTAGCATGCAATCGCTACTACTTACACATCCAACGGACATTAAGCAGCATGGTGGAGTCACCTTTCTCACTACCTGTCATATGTAATTTTCTGTGGTGTTGTATCCCTGGTTTGATCTGCCAGCTCCTTGACTCTTTTCACCTACTACTATTTAAAGCTGGCCAGGTGCTATATGAGCTATGTAATTGGCTGCTCGAGTTTACATGGAGAGGTGAGATCCACTGGGAGACAACCACACAGATGGATGAGCCAAAGCTATGAGCTAAAAGCACCTGGCAGCTGCCAAAAGCTGCAGAGTGAGGTGTTGGTGGTCTCAGTGGGATCGGCAATGGTAGGAATGCTTTCAGATCACAGGGAGTCATTTGATTCTGTGTTACCATCCAAAGAGCAAAAGTGATTCACAGGTGTTTGCATTGGACTGTCAACATATACACTTTCTTTCGTATTGCGTGAAGAAGATCAATGACTGAAAGCTTGTATGTATGAATACACAGAACCGAGTGCAGTTCTGTTCTGATATGTATACAAAATGGTTTTGGAGGCTTTAAATATTCTCCATTTTAAAATGAAACATAATTATAAATTTGCCTCCTTCATTATTCAAATCTGTAATTATTTATTATGTGGCTTCTAAACGCAACGCTGACATATTACTTTTAAGATGATATTGCAAACTTGTTAGAAAACAGTTGCCTATTTACACACCCAGCAGATTCAGAGTGGGATTGGCAATAATTTCCAGTTGTGTGTGCCTCTGGTCACCTAACAAATGTAAATCCAGTAATAATTCACTCTCATTTTTAGATTCTAAATGCTCTAAATGATTCATTTTCGTTATCTGTCTCAATTTTCAGATTAATGGATTTCTATTAACAGATCATTTACTATTACTGACAGAAATATATTTATATGTGTCTGTGGTCATTTCATATTGCCCTGATGCTGTCTTTTACTTAACAACACTCTGGATAGGTAGTGGCAGGATCCATAATGTTAGTGTTTAGACCCAGATAAAATGTTGGCAGCATGTTTTTCCATTTCAGTTAACCTCCCTGGCTCTTGCCTTCACAATCCTCTTCTTCCATGTGAATTACCTCAGTTCTCCCAACTATTGTAAATCCACCAGCTTTATGTTACTGATAGCGTCTCTGACAATGAGAAGTGGAAACAAGCCCTTTAGTACTTTCTGTCCTCTCTGCTTTCTCTCTGTTCCCTTCTACGTGGTGTGACTCAGCTGCTGATTTCCTGAAATCAACTTACTAAACTTGTTAATGAGTACAACTGCAATTACAATTTTCCTCTAGGATATTTATGAAGCACATAAATAAAGCAAATCTTTTAAATATTGATTACAGCTACATCATTAAGAGGGGAAACGACACCATTAAGTGAGAAGCAAGGCCATATGTATTAGCATATGCACATGTAAATCCCATGAAAACATAGTTTAAAGCACCCTCAGGGCTTTTACGTAACCAAGGAATCAAGAACAACGAAAGCTCAGTGTAAATGCTGATAGAGAGTCGACCTCAAGTGAAAGATTGCATTAGGATTCCTTCCACGGCTAAAGTCTCTAATCTTAAAGTTGCTCCCTCATCCGAATTAAAGTACACATTACCTGATATACGTTCAATATCCCAACAAGCTTGATGCACTTTACAAAGGATTATATACACCAGTCTGTAATCCTTACCCTCAAAGAAAGCAGGCTGCATTTGTGCATGCACATTCCACACTGGTACACTCATACTGTATGTGATTTACTGGTTAAATGCACTTGCTGGTTGCAAGTGCACTTACTGATCCTCACTCCTGTCATGCATTCACCTGTACAAGCATGCTCTCATCATATGCACTTCTGGTTCTTATGGTGAACTTATGACTCTAACATGTGTTCAGATGTGCAGCATATATTGAACATTGTGTTTCATATTCAGTTGTATAAGCCTGACTTCTAGGAGATTTCTGTTTTATTAAACAGTTTACAGTGTAGGGATACAATAATAGCAAAAAATGCAACTTGAGTTTATGAATCACATGTAAATGGTGTTTTGGCAAAGATTACATTAAAGGATCAATGTGTTGAACTGGAGGGTATTTCTTCATTGAAAAAAGAGCAAAGAAAGGCACTGAAGGCTTTTCTCGGTGGAAAAGATTGCTCTCCCGACTGGCTTCGGTAAGAGATTAACTACATTATATGGATCATTGATCTGATTCATTGAAGTTCGCCCGTGATAGACAGCGATAGTTGGTTCATGCAATCACCTGCTGAGCCTTTTTGGAAAGTTTGAGCCCAATTGCAAACAGTTTCCAACAACAACTTTCCAGATAACAAACCATGGGGTCAACTGAATAGCATTCACCTTCCAAGTGTGTAGAAGAAAATATGGTGCTTGCAAAAAACTTATTTAGAGCCAGTATTGGTTTGTCTGTTCTGGGCGACTGTACAAACATGGCGATTCAACATGGTGGACTTGGTAGAAGAGGACCCGCTCCCTCTGTAGATAAAAATGTCTCAAGATTGCGAAGACACAACAATTCTTAAGCTGATTATACATAAATGAAAACACATTAATTTTATATTGATACGAATAGGAATATTATATTACATTTCTGCCAATAGATCCTCCTAAATGTTACTGGACCTTTAAGTGCCTGGGAGACCGCTAAAGAATCCTGAAGATTTTCCAAAGGTTTTTTTTATTATTTATTCTTACTCTTCTGCTTCCCAATTGGCTGACTACTGACCTGTCAAAAGACACACTGACCTGTCCTAAGGTGCACTCCATGGCTCCCAGGAAGTCTGCATCACGCAGGCCATTGTTGCCAGAGCTGATGTCATGAAGTTCAAAGCGGAGCCTCTGGACCTCCTCAAAGTAGTAGTCCACCAGGAAGATCTTGGAGAAGACTGGGCTGCTACTGCTACGAATCACCTCTGTACGGTCCACCTGCAAACACACACATGCACAGAGGCAGGGGCGCATGGACACACAGACACACAATCTCCAGGTTAACCCCAGTATGTTCAAGGAATCTTTGGACTCTAACAGAAGATTTTATATAACGTAAATGATAGAGTTGGTAAATGGAAAAGCATCCGATAGGTGGAAATGCTACAACAAACTGATTTACAAATTCCATTATTTATTTATGTATGAATCAGTCTATTTAATTGTTTAAATGAACAATTAAATATAAACTAAACAATAGTTTTACAATCTAATTTATTTGTTGATATTAATCTGTGAATTATCTTATTAATCTTGTTTTTGCCCAATTAAAAATACAAAATTTACTACTTTATGATGTATGATGTAAGACCAAGTAATAAAAAAAACTGAATTATTTTATTCTTGAATCTTTATTTTTTACATGTTTCTGTATATTTTTCATACAGTAAGAGTGGTTTTGTGAAAGGAAGTCTTTAAAAATTCTGTTGTTGGCAGTTTCACTTTAAACTGAGTTGTTTATGGTCCTTCTGGGGGAATGATGTATAAAGATTTCATTCAACATCCAATGCACTGCCACTGCACATTGATTGTGAACCTCGGCAGACTTTTCAGCACTGCAGCAATTACCACAAATAACTATTACCACATTGTTTACACTTATCAACTTGAGAACTGGGAATATGGATTTTCCTTGATGACTAAAATCACACAAGCTGTTTGACTACACAGAGAAGCGACTACAGTTGCAACATTGATCTCACATTTTCTTCACTCTAACTGCCTCACACAGAAAGGAATAGAAAGCTGAACAAAAGTCTGTCTCAGAGCTGCCAACAAAACCTATCCAACACTAGCGGCAACGACTGGGTCCCTTTTATTGTTGATAACCCTTTGGCACACCCACACACACACACACACACATAGACTCAAAAGTGAATTGTACACCAGCAGACATACACACACAAACATATTTGGCCTTTTTCTGACACTTACCTCAATAGGCTGGCATCTCATTAAAGCAAAAAGAACAAACATAAACACACAAACACATGCACACACA